GGGAGGGGAGGGAGGGGGAGGGAAAAAAGGAAAATGAGCAACTAATTCTAGGAACCCAAGCGGAAAGTGAATTTTGAGAATGATGAGGGCAACACATGTATAAGTGTGTTTTACACAAATGATATATGTATGGATTGTGATGAATTGCATGAGCCCCAATAAAATGATTTAAACAAAAAAAGAAAGAAAATGCTAAAAAGCAAAGATGCCATTTGTGGATAACGGTCTGTCGAATCAAGCATTGGTATTTTCAATCAAGTCATATACAGGGTGGAATCTAGAATGAATGAGGAATAGTATAGAAGAACTGATGAATTTGAATGATGATGTTGTAAAAATATTGAATAAACCATGGACTGCCAAAAGAACAATCAATTTATCTTGGAAGAAGTACAGCCGGAATGCTCCTTAGAAGCCAAAGTGGCAAGAAGGACATCATGCTTGGCAAAGGAGAAGGTGAGGGAAAAGGAATCGGCTCAAACATAGGAATGTTTGTGAGAATGGTGCAGAACAGAGTCAATGTTTCATTCTGGCCTACATAGGATCTTTATGAACCAGAACCTTCCCAATAGCACCTAACAGTAGCAACACCATAAATTGCAAATTAAAACTGGTTTTATATATATATACACACACACACACACACATATGTATATCTATACATATATCTTATGCTACAGATTCAAAGCATCTACTTATTTTATTTGAATTAAAGAAAAGGGAAATTTTTGCCTGGATCACACTTTAAATTACCTGATAGAATAATATGTTGTAAAAAGCCATACATAATGGACTCTTTCCACAGAAAGCAATTTAAATGCCCAGGAATAATTTTTAAGGTACAGATAAAACTTGTGCTATTTGTTTAAATGATCTAAACCATTTAAACTTCTAGTGTCTTATGAGATAAGGAATGGAGAAAAAGGAGAAATAAAATGATCTTGTATTCTCTCTCTTTTTTTAATGGGATGGCCAAATAGTATTAAAATAACCTTGTGGAGTTATTAAGTTGTCAAGTCTTTACTGAATTTTTAAAAATGTATTCACGACAACCAAAATATTTAGTTTGCACACAGTGTAAAGTCACAATGACTTCTTTGAAGCATGGGTGTACTCATTCATTGCTCACTAAATATTTTTAAACAAAATAAAAAACTTTAAAACTGTTGAATATGGTGGTGTGAAGAGCTAAATGGTTTAGCATTTTAGCATATACTTAAATTAGAATTGCATAAATATCAAATTATTGCTTTTGTAAAAATCCTTAGTTAAAATGACCAAGAGATTTAGTTTCTCACTAGTAATCTTTTTCAGTAAAACAGGAAACAAACACATATTTGAAGCATGTAAGCCTAGACATGTAGACTATTTGAAACATGTTACAGAGGACAACACTGAACATACAGGTTGGGGAGAGGAACCTTCACGCCACACCCACACAGAAGCAAAGCAAGAAGGAAACAGATAAAGGGATGGTCTAGACCCCCCATCCGTACACCAAGCCCAGAGGATGACATCCTTCCACTGAGCTGCTAAGACACAGAGAGACTGTTGGGCCAACAACAGCTCAAGACATATTGTGCCCTCACTGGAGCGTACCTTGACAGAGGATAACACTGGGGACAGAGCTGGGAGTTAGTCTTGACTGAACTCCCCCTCTGTGCCCACCCCACCCCCATCCCCCTGGAATGGAGAGAACCAAGAAGGGAACGTAACACATCTGAGACTGGAACAAAGCAAAGCCACGAAGCCCCCTGAAGAACCCTGAAAACAGACTTCCGGCTAGGAGGGACAGCTCACGGAATCCCCCCAGGACCAGTGGGGAGATAGTCATAAAGGTCAGTGGACAGACCTAGAATGATGTGTTTTTTCTTTTTTTCCATCTTTTGTTTTCTGTTGGCTTGGTCTATGTCATTGTTGTTTGGCCTACTTATATAAGACAGGCATGGGAAAGAAGCAAGCTCGAGGAGAAAGCAACAGGACTGATGGTCCTGGAGGGACTTGGGGGAGAAGGAGGCAGGGGAAGGGAACAGTGAGCAAACAACGCCATAGACAGGGGAACAACTAGGGAATTAAAACCAACAATGAGGAGGATGTAGTGATCCTGGGGGTGTTGGAGCAACAGCAATCTAGCTAAGAGGAATCACTAAGAGGTGGAAGAAGGGCAAGCATGATGGTGGGGCAGAAGGAAAATAAAGGGAAACTGAGGACAAATCTAGGAAGCAACGCTGTGGATAGAGGTATAAGCATAGCCATGCACATATATAAATACATTACTTCATAAAAATAGAGGTATTGGCCTAGGTACATATGGCAATACACTGAGGTAGTGGACAGACTTCGGACCTCTGCTCATACTCTCTCTTAATGCAAGAATACTTTGTTGTAGCAACCTGGCATTCTGTGATGCTCATCCTCTCAGCACAATCGCTGAAGACAAAATGGGTGCATAAGCAATTGTGGTGAAGAAAGTGGATGGTGCCCAGCTATCAAAAGATATAGTGTTGAAAGTCTTAAAGACTTGAAGTTAAACAACTGACCACCTAGCAGAGAAGCAACAAGCCCACATGGAAGAAACACACCATCCTGTGTGATCCTGGGGTGTCCTCTGGACCGGGTCACAGAGATCAGAACACCCCAACAAAAAAAAACAACCACATTATTGAGAATGAGCAGGGTCAATGCAGAGACCCAAAGCCCATCTGTAGACAATGGGACATCGACTCACAGAGGGGCCACAGGGAAGGGATGAGTCAACTGGGCACAGTAAAGCACTGATGAAAGACACAATATTCCTCTGGTTCCTTGAGGCTTCCTCATCCCCCACTCTCATGACGCCAGTACTGCCTTTCACTGTGGGCTGGACTGGAGCATGTGCACAGCTACAGGTAAGAGATAAGAGCTCAGGACACACGGAATCCAGGAACAAGAATGAGAGCAGCGATACCAGGAGGGTTGGGGGAAGGTGGGGAGAGAAAGGAAGAAAGGGGGAACCAATGGCAATGATCAACACATAACCACCACCAGTCGGTGGAAGATATGAAAATAATAATAATTTATAATTTCTCAAAGGGTCACAATGGGCAGGGGGAGGGAGAAAAGAGTAGCTGATACCAAGGGCTCAATAGAAAGTAAATGTCTAGAAAATAATGATGACAACACATGTACAAATATGCTTGATACAACTGATGTATGGATTGTTCTAAAAGCTGTCAGAGTCCCCAATGAAATGATCTTTTAATATATAAAAGGAAAGAAAACGAGGCAGTGCATTGGGGAAAAACACACAAACAACCCTTGTCACCTGATCCCTCCTCTGTGCACTTTGGGCCTGATCTGGTTGTCAATATTTTCTGGGTTGCCCAACCCCCAACCATAGTGGGTTTTATCCCTGATGCATTTTGTCATTGTGGGTTGCCTTCTTGAATCTGTTTTCCGGTATATGAAATGCAAACTGATGAACCTATAGACATACGTAGAATAAGGGTTCCCAGAGGTAATGTTTGGGGAAGTGGGGTGGTTAAAGGGGAGCTAATATCAAGAAGTTCAAGAAGGAAGAAAATGTCTTGAAATTGACTGTGATAGCAATTGTACAAATTTGTCAGTGTTCGAACTATGGAATGGTATGATATCTGTAAGAGGTCCCAATAAAATGGTTTTGAATTTTTTTCGGAAAAAAAATAAAGTATGTCATTTTTTCTGTTCTTCCATATGACTCGTGATAATTACACATGGTATTTTTCAGCAGGGGGAGCTATCATAAAATAAGCATAGTTAACTGACAGTTTTTTTCTACATACACATAATACTTTGGGATTTAGTATATCAGAATTGTTTGTCATTTTTTGCCCTACTATGTTTATGCCTACATGATTTATATAAACTAAGCAAAGATGGCTTCTTTGCTGTTCAGTAGAAACAGTTGAGTTGGTTTGGAATTATAGTTAAATATACTTTTTTCCCTTGTTATTATTAGCTGGAAATATTGTTAAATAAAAAATAAAATGAAGATCTTGGCCTTTTGTAAGAACATGTTTTATGTACGATTGAAGTTTTTACAACACTCCAAAAATTCCATCCAGTATTAGATTTAAAAATAAAATCAAAAGCATTTTCTGACACAGTACACATGGAAAAATTGGAAATCCCAATATTTTCAATAGAAGTTGTAGAAAGTGTATGTCTCCTTGGATATTGACACCCACTTAACACAGCAGAAAATGAGGTACTATACTACTACTGTAAACAAAAAGTACAGTAAATGACCGTTGTAAATTTACATAAGAATATTTCATAAACATTTTGATATTTTCATAACAGATTTTATATAAAATGAATAAAAAAACCTTTAGACAGCTGTCATCATTCTTACTTGTTCACTTTTCACTTATATGCACACATACGTTTATATAGCAATATATTGATGCACCGTTACATGGATATTAAACTATGAGTACTGCTTGTAACTGAGATGTGCATTGTCCAATCAACATTATCCATAGCTGAAATACTTTTACATTATGTTTTCTTGTCATGTTGTATCTATAAAAACATGAAAATATAACTTTACATTATTTCAGTTATTTACATTAATTTGAGCTTGACAGAGTAAATTTATAAGCTACAATTTTTAGAAGAGTAGGCCCAGAGGTACAATGAATAACTTTGATATAATCATCTCTTTTGCTTTGTTTTTAAAAACTCATTGTAAGTTCAATAAGGAAAAATTAGTCTGCAATTTGGTCATTCTGACATTTATCATTGAAATTAAAAGTGCACCTCCAACATTCCTGATGAGGAGAAATGCACTGAAATTATGCTGATTTATCTTGAAATTTATGGTCTTAGGGACAATTAAATTTAGAAAGAATATCCTGATATAATCTTCCACCATCTTTAGTGCAAGCAGTTGCTGTTAACTCCTACATTTCTCTTTCCATTCTATAAGATAAAATAGAGTACTTCAATTGCTCTTAGTAAAATACCAAATGCTACACCAGGGACTTGCTTGCGGAAATAGCAAGACTAAGAAGGCTTAAAATAACTCTTGGACTTCAATAATTCTTTGCTATCTTACATTCATTTTATTAGGGAGGGCACTAACAATAATTAGAGATCTTTTGTGGAAAGAAAGATTACTCTTTTAAAATTTTTGGCTAGAGAAATATAAACTCTTCAGTCAAAAGTGACGTAAAGGTGGGTTTCTCTCTCTCCACACTGAACATATTATTCCACCTGAGGAGTGAATACGGATAGTGTATATTAGGGCCGTGTTTATTGATGGTGGCAAAGGGAAGCAACCCAATTATGGGTGATCCCAAAGTGCTTAAAATATTCAGAATATATAAGGTCTGTGAGGCTTCTTATGATTTCAAAAACGAAAAGCAGATTTAGCTTCTTAAATTTGACATCTGAGCAATCATTGAATAGGCTGCCGTCAAACTATTTTGACTTCAGTTACAGCTAATGCTTCTCTGCAAACGCAAATGCTTGGAAACCTCACATATTCCATTACGTTTCAATATTAGCTTTTAAAATCCACTAGCATATAGCTACATAGAGACATGCTCATGTATTAGCATGTATCACTGCATTTATCGTCAGACAGGTCAAAAACAGATTTAATTATTATTTTGAGGCTAATTGACAGTGGAAAACCTGGCCTTCTCGAAGGGACACCTTTCTCTGAAGACCTAGCAACGTATGAGTGTCTGCAGACTCACTTCATTGATGACCAAACTGTAGATAAGTAAAATTAATTGGACTACTTGCAATTAAAACAATAGAAAATGTTTATTTCAAATGTCAAGCATTGCCAAGTAATTGTTTTATATTAACACCAAATGTTAAAGAATAGGATACATTAAAGTTTTAATAACAATATTAAATTACAAGATTTGAATCTCTTCTTTGTTTTCCTTCCTTAGCATCTACATATTTGGCTTTGGAAAATGTGGAAACAGACACCTAAAGCCTTGTTAAATCACTTCCGCTTCAGTTTCATGGTTGGTCTTAGCCAACCAATATGGAAGCAAATTTATTTAAAAGCCAGTTTGTGAAAATACCTAAAAATATTGTTTGGGGGGGGGTTTATTCATTTTAAATGTTTTTTTTTCTTTTTCTTATAAAACATGTCACATCTTGATGCAGTTGATGTCAAGTGTGCTTACGTCCTTATGAATCAAGAGACTAACAAGAGCGGCTGCAGAAACGTGTTTGTTGTCTGTACAAAGACTTCGTTTAAATGAGAGTACTTCCAGTTTCACGGTGCATGTCCACCAAGCTTCATGGGGAACTCGAGTAGAAAATCGTGTGGTACTTTTAATTAGACATTCCTTACGATTCAAGATGAACTCCACAGAGTTAAGAATTCTTGGCTGAAAGAATAGTCTTCGAGATACTCGATGCCTTTTACCACTTTGACAAGAAACACACAGGAAACCCATTGTGTAAGGCACTCAAAAGGTTCTGATCAATCACGAGATACCAGTCACACTGACATTCATTCCCATGCCAGGACTCACGTAAGGGACAGCATGCACTGCTTTTGGAAAGTCTGGAGTCATAACACGTCCATTTTCTCCAGCACTTCCTGTAATTGACAGCCTTGCCTTGTTCCTCATGGCATCACTCAAGGTCATCTTAAAATGAGAAAGAGGAGGAAAGAAAGAAAAAGAAAGCCATACGTTACGGTTTTTAAATGTACCCGAGGTCAAGGGTGGTGTTATTTTTGAAAAGTTTAATTTTATCTGAAAGCTTCTAGCAAATGAAAGCAAACAGTGCGAAGCCGAACTACAAATCATAAAGCACAATGATGGCAGGAATTTGTCCACATTCACCCAAGCTTTGGGGCCATTAACAGGAAGATAGACAGCTGAGCTGCAGGTTAGTCCCTGATCAGGAACATGGAAGAACATGAACAATACAACAGGCTGATCCATCGGCTGCCTTCCTCATTCAAAAGAGCTTAAGGACGCAACAATACAGCTAAAACGTGCACTTAGAGAAGTTTGTATTAGAGCCTCGTTCCTACCCCCTAAATTTTAACACTTTCGATGCCATATACGTTGTAACCTTCCTTATAAGTTGCAAAATTCTGTGAATTCTGCGAGGAAGATGGGTTAATATTCTGTGCATTCTTTGCCACCTTCATTCGTTTCGCCTCGGCCCTCGATTTGTAACAGAATTCAATCAAAGCCACCAGCATTGCCAAACCAAGGCCCCCGACAAGGATGTAGAACACTCCAGCCACGTTGCTCAGACTGAGGGCACTGGTCTTTTCCTAAAGAATGTATATGAGAAGAGGTTATTAGGGAGGAAAAGTGGTGGACAGAAATGAACAGCAATGTCACAGAGCATTATCCTAGGAACAACCTATTCACACAATGCACACAGTTGGAGAAACAATGGATTTTCTCTTGGATGGTCCATTTTGATAACAGCTACTGTGAGAACATAAAATTTAATTGAAGATTCTGTTGACTCAACCAGATATTTTCAGTGAATACACTGGTATGCGTTCATTCATTTTTTTAGAAAAAGGTTTTTTCCTGGCTCTGTCAGTTGCGACGTGAAATTTATGAATAGGTATATTCAAACACCATGGGGAAATGGAAGGTACAAGACAATTTCTTCATCCTATAAATAATTTAAGGCTGATAGCAAACAGGGGTAAAATAAAACATACGGGTAAAATTGTGGATGCAAGGTTGTATTAACTATATTACTGACTTAGTAGAGTCTTTAAGACTGACCAAATATTAAATCCTCCAAGGTTCTAAAATTACCAAGATAGAACGTCATCTGCTGGCTGCTGGATGGTTCCAGTACATTCATTCTCTTTCCAAGTGGTCTTACAATTCCAGTGTACCATATTTGATCATTTGAATTCCAATATCCATCCCCTCATCGTTCTCTCATCAGCTATACTACTTGTCACAACAAAGCGTTGCCATTCAATACAAACAGAGCACACAGGATGCACATATGTAAGTTGGCCAATCAGCAATACTATGGAGGTTGCAGTTGCGCCATTAAAACAGACCAAAAAAAAAAAACACACAAAAAACCCAAAACACAACCCACACATCCCTATCATCACTTCATCTTAAATGTTTCTGAAACATTCTCATTAGTCTATTTACTCTGTTTCAGTGTGTTGCTGTTTCATGCATTAAAATGTATGAATTAGACATGAACACAGACTGAAATAAAGAGAGTGAATGCATATGCTCTACTTCAAAGAAAAAACGAAAACAAATCAGGAACTCTGCAGGCATGACCAAAACATCTTACCAATTATACATCTCATGCTTATTTTCATTTACATTCTCTATTAGATGGGTCATTCCCACTTAACACACTTGTGCTTTGATTTTGCTGTTTGTGGTTCAGCTTGTGTTGCACATAAAACCTGCAGCGACTGACCTTACTTCCAGAGTCCTTGGCTCCACATTCCCCTTTATCGTACCACCATTTGTTTTTCAGCTTGTCTAAGACGCCTTGCTCACTGAGTTTCAGTACTGCAAGATTTACTGGGGTTCTTCACGTGGGAAATAACATAAATAACATTATCAATGTTATTTTATGTTATTCATGACATAATACCGATTCAAGAGCTTTGTCATAGCGATAGCCATTGGTGCGCCATTTGGCCTAAGCAAATGGTTCCGATTTGCAGAGCCAAATGAGCATTAATGTATCGCTGGAAGTAACCAGCAGGTGCAACAGTTTGGAATAAATCTATTTGTTAACTTTTTTTCTCCCCATAGACTATGGGAAAAGAGCAGGAAAGAGAAGCGGAGAGAGAGAAAGAAAGAAGAAAGGAAGAGAGGTGTCCTGATCATCCAATTGTACTCGTCAGCCTCGCGTTGGAAACTCGGTGGCATGGTCCGCCCACACTGTGCATCGCTGCTGCTTACTTGGTTTTGCATTAAGTTACCCATCACTTTGCTCCCTGGGGCTGACCTTGGAGTCACCTCCCCCGCTGCCGCACTCTCCTTTGTCGTACCACCATTTGTTTTTCAGCTTGTCTAAGACGCCTTGCTCATTCAGTTTTAGTACTGCGAGGTTAACCGCATTTCTTGAAACGATAAAACATACTTGTCAGACAGGGTGAGCGAATTGGAGACGTTTTGTTTGTGGTCATTGGTTTTTCTTTTGCTTCTGTGGCAACTCTCGTCACACAAAAAGGAAGTGGGAAAAAGGCCACGCTCAGGTGTGACTATGAATAATCGGAATCTTTGGGTAAGGTGGTAGAGCGTAACGGAAAGTAAATAAAGGAAAGAGTGCTAATACGGGGAGTTCTAGCATCTACAGCACCGTACTCACATCCACAACAAATAAATAACAGTGTCTTGAATGTGACTCCACTAAAAAACACAACAACAATGAAAATAGGAATACAAAGAGTTAACTACATAGTAAGGAGATTGGTGTAAAGAAATTCAAGGTGCATTTGACTTTCCCGGTGCATATCCCTCTGTCAAAAGTGGCATTTTTAATCCGTCTGTTACTCTGATTGATTTTCAGAGTTTTGCTATTTGTTTCGCTCTGTAAGCACACTGCTGCTTTCAGAAACAAGAGATAGGCTCGTAGATGACATAGTTAGCTACAAATATGGGGGAAATATTTCAAAAAAGGAAAATAAAACTAAACAAAAATGTATTCCTTCAAAACTAAAACAAAAATATATTCCTTAAAATAAAACTAAACAAAAATGTATGCCTTAAAACGTGTTTTAACTTCTTTAAAAAGGGCTGTTGTAAAAGCAAAGCAAAATCAAAGGAAAGAAAACTTTGTCTGATAGATAACAGTATCTAAATGTTCAAAAACATTGAGAAACTCTTGGGGGGTGGGGCGGTCATTGTTGTGATTGTGAGTTACCTCATCTCCGTATACAAACCGTGAGCTAGTCTTAAAGATACATCAGGGTAGGTGGGATACTATAACAACATTTAGCATATTGTTATACTATTCCACCCACCTTAATGAGGATCCTTTAGGTGTTGCAATTCCATAGCCTTTGGAGTCCAGGTTTCCACCAACTTTCATGGTGTCACACGGCTTCCTTTGCTCAATGTACTCATTCATGGTGGACTCCAGCAAGTAGGCGTATTTCCCTTTGGATTTCCGCACTCTGGCCACCCCTTCGGCTGTAGTCCTCACAAACACAGAGGGTTCTGCGCTTCTCATGTAGGTCCACATTTTATCAAACACTGCGATTTTAGATCTCTGCAGAAAACATACACAATGGCACAAGAGAGAGGTTAGTGGTAACTCTGGACTAGCGCAAGACAAAATGGAGAGGGTGACAGTTCAATAGTAATCACAGATGCTGTGAAGAATATGGAATTCTCCATCTTCTGATATTTTCATCGCAATTCCAGGATCATGTCAAATACATTTCCTTTATATTTTCAGGGGCCTCACATGTCATTTTGTCATTGCAATTTTGAGTTGAAACCAAAAATATTGGCATACTAGAAGCAAGTTGATATACTCACAATCTAATATAAATTGAAAAAAACACTTTATATTAATTCTAGGAATATTTCACATCAAGAGACTCCAAAATTGAATCTTTACAAGGAAATTCCTAAATTATGTGTCCCTGATTAGTGGCAGGACCAGAGCCTGTGTAATGCTGATGGGCCTGTATTGTAAGTTGTGAGACTTTAACATAATGTCCTATTATCTGAGGAATGAAGAAAATCATGCTGGAAATCTGATTTTCATTTCAAATATTCTCCAAATAAAATAGATTTTTCAAAAGGAACTGTTCTTTGGGTACAGAAACCTTTCAATTTAATCGGTATTTCTTTCAAATATCCAAATACAGTTTATTTCACTAATTTCTGGAGGAAAAGCAATAAAATTATGAGTGACAGATATGAAAGAGGAGCAGCAATATTATTAAAGAAATATTTATCTTAAAATTAATTTTCTCAAGAGCATAGTTGTTGTAGTTGTTAAGGGCCAAGTGGTGGCAAAAGCATAGATAGCTGAAAGAAAACCCGTGTAACACAGGCACAGGTTGCTTATTGTATTTTACTTTATTGTGCATTGCAACTATTATCTTTCCCCCTTTCTTTTTACAAACTAAAGGGTTGTGGCAACTCTGAAGTTAGCAAGCCTATTGGTGCCATTTTCAATACTATGTGCTCACTTAGTTTCTCTGTCATATTTGGGAATTCTGCACATTTCCAACTTTTTCATAATGCTATTGCACTACAGAATGATGTACAGACATAATTTTTATAAGCACTAGGAAACAAATAAATAAAAATACTGTGGTTTGCTTTATTTTGATATTCATTTATTTCTGTGGTCGAGAACCAAAACCACAATATCTTTCAGGTATGCCTGTATTATCTATTGAGAGTTAAAAGCACTTGGACATAGACTGGAAAAGTAAAAACAATTGAATACCTATTTACTTTTCTATCTCAAAATTTCTGAACTGCTTTGAATGCATTTTAAGAAGGTACTGCTGCATAAATCCCTCTGTTATTCTAATGTAGGAACCTTGACATGGAAACTCGACATTGAAAATGAACTTTTTAAGGTCATGTGGCTTTTGTATGTCTGTTTTCCCTTCTCTGAGGAATTTAAAACACAAGATCTTTACTCTAGGGAAAGCAAAGCTAAAAGCACTTATTCTTAGCAGACATAGGACGTAAAACCAAATTTGTTTACAATGTTACTTTACATATTCAGGCAGTTTCACATAGGAGAAAGCTTCAAAAAGTTCGTGGAAAATTGGAATCCAAAGACAATGAGATTCTTCCACAAATGTTTTGAAGTTTCATTATATGAGATCATCACATATTGGTGAAAATATATGGGCAAGTGTAAATAGAATATGTAGTAAACTTGTATCGCTGAGGATTATAATACAACTAATTGATATAAGTGCTGTTGTGTTGAAATAAAGCCCATGGGGTATTTCGAATGTCTGTCCAATGGTCTCCATTGTGAGAAGCCCCTTATGTCCTGCAAAAAGACTCTTTCACCTTAATGCTCTCTATGTTGTAAGCTTATTAATATTGTCCCATGTACAGGCTGAGATACAGGTAGTTGGGTGGAAGTCAGACAAAACCCAAGGAGGTACATGATAACCCAACACAAAGAAGGGGAAAGGGCCCGGAAAACCGGTAGGTGGGAGGGAACACAAAAGAGGCATGATAGCATGAGGGAGCAGGGCACTACCCCACCCAGGGGGAGAGTATTGGTTATGTCTCCAGAGAATTGGGCGTGTACATACAGACCCCACCAAGGCACACCAAACCAGGAGGGCAACGTAACCACATGGGGAAATCCATGAAGAATGGGCTACAGGGCAGGCCCCAACCGGAGCCAAACTGGTCCCCTCCCTAGAAGCATGTATGACAGAGAACCACACTAAATCTACCGGTTGGGGAGAGGGTTCGGCATGCCATGCCCACACAGATTCAAACCAAAAAGGAAAAAGAGAAAGAGCCAGTCGGTCTAGATCCCATATTGGCACACCAAGTCTGGAGGATGCCATCCCTGCACAGAGCTGCTAAGGCACAGAGAGGATTGTAGGACTCACCACAGCTCATGATATGCTGTCCCTTTACTGGAGCATACTGTGACAGAAGACAATACTAGGGCACAAGGCAGGGAGGTCGTGCAGTCTGAACCCTCCATGGCGGGGCAAACAAAGAAGGGAACATAAGAGATCAGCAACTGGAGCAAAACAAAGCCACAAAGCCCCTAAAGAGTCTCCATAAATAGACTTCAGGCTAGGAGGGGCAGCTCCCGAAATTCCCCCAGGACCAGTTAGGAGATTGTCATAAAGGTCAGTGGCAGACCTGGAATTATGTATCTTTTTTCTTTTTTCCTTTTTTTTTCCAAACGTTTGTTTTCTTTTTGCTGTGTCTATGTCATTGTTGGTTTTTCCTACGTATATAACATAGGCATGGGAAGCAAGCTCGAGGAGAAAGCAACAGGACCAATGGTCTCGGAGGGACTTTGGGGGAGAAGGTGCCAGAGTAAGGGTGTGGTGAGTAAACAATTCCATAGACAGGGGAACAACTAGGGAATTAAAATCAACAACAAAGAGGAGGTAGAGATCCTGGGGATGATGGAGCAACAGCAAGCTAGCTAAGAGGAACTACTAAGAGGAGGAAGTAGGGGAACATGCTGGTGGGGCTGGAGGTAGGTAAAAAGAAACAGAGGAAAGATCTAGGAAGCAAAGCTATGGATGGAAGTATAAGCATAGTTGTGTAATTATATTAATCCATAAAAATAGAGGTATTGGCCTATGTACATACATTTACATGGCAATACACTGAAGTAGGGGGTGGATTTGGGGCTTCTGTTCATACCCTCCCTCAATACAAGAATACTTCGTTCTAAAAAATTGGCATTCTTTGATTCTCACCCTCCCAGCACAATCGCTGAAGACAAAATGAGTGCATAAGCAAATGTGGTGAAGGAAGCAGATGGTGCCCGGCTATCAAAAGATAGAGTGTCTGGGGTCTTAAAGGCTTGAAGGTAAACAAGTGGCCATCTAACTCAGAAGCAACAAGCCCACATGAAAGAAGCACACCAGCTTGTGTGATCATGAGGTGTCATCAAGACTGGGTAACAGGCATCTCTGGACCCATAACAAACAAACAAATAAAAACATATTGTTGAGAACAAGGGGAGGTTGGAGCAGAGACTTAAAGCCCATATAGAGACAATGAAACATCCCCCCACAGAGAGGTCACAGGGAAGGGATGAGTCAACCAGGGTGCAGTAAAACACTGATAAAACACAATATTTCCCTGGTTCCTTGAGGCTTCCTCACCCCCACTATCATGACCCCAGTGCTGCGTCTCAATTCAGACTAGAAAGGAGGATGTACACAGGTATAGATAAGAGATAAAAGCTCACAACACATGGAATCCAGGAACAGTTATGGGAATAGTGATACCAGAAGTGTAGGGGGAAGAGGGGAGAGGAGGGGAAATGGGGAACCATTCGCAATGATCGACACATAACCACACACACACCCCGCAGGGGGAAGAACAACAGAAATCATGGGGCAAGGAAGACAGCGGTTGGTGTGAGATATGAAAATAATAATAATTTTGAGAATGATGAGGGCAATGAATGTACAAATGTGCTTTACACAAGTGATGTATGTATAGATTGTGGTAAGAGTTGTATGAACCCCTAATAAAACAATTAAAACACAACAACAACAAAAAATTATCGAACTAAAAAAAATTATTGAACTAAATGTGAATAGGATGAATCTTCCTTAAAAAAAAAAAGAAGATAATAATTTATAATTTATCAAGGAGTCATGAGGATGGGGGTGGAAAGAGGGAAACAGAGGAGCTGATACCAAGGGCTCAAGAGGAAGTAAATATCTATAAAAGAATGATGGCAACATATATACAAATATGCCTGATGCAATCTATGTACGGATTGTAATAAGAGTTGTAAGAGCCCCCAATAAAATGATCTTTTAACAATAAAAAATGTATATAAAACAAATAATTCATCATGGCCAAGTGAGATTCATTCCAGAGATGCAGGAATGGTTCAACATCCAAAAGTCCATCACTATTACTCACTACATTGACAAGAAAAAGGATAAGAACCATATAGTATGCAGAAAAGCATTTGACAACATCCACCCCAATTTGTATTTAAAACACTAAAGGAGATAGGAATGGAAGTAAAATTCTTCAATATAATACAAGCTATATATGAAAAACCAATAGCCAACATGAGAGTCAATGGGGAAAAGACAAAAACAACCTGACTGAAAAAGGGGAGCAGACAAGGATGCCCCTTGTAGTCACCTTTATTTAACATTGCCCTGGAGGCCCTAACTAACAACATAAGGCAAAGGAGAGACATTAAAGGTATTTGTCTGGGGGAAGAAGAGCTAAAACTATTGTTATTCGCAGAGAGTATGATTTTATATATTAAAAAAAAAACCCAAAAGCTCCGGAAGAGGAGTGTTGGAAGTGTTAGAGGAATGTGACAGAGTGGCAGCATACAAAATCAACAAACAGAAGTCTATCAGATTACTATATACATTGGATGAGACCACGGAAGGACAGATAAAAAATGTAGTACTCTACAAAATAGCCAAGCACAAATTGAAATATCTAGGGATATACCTAACTAAAAAAAACCCCAAAGATTTGTACGAGGAAAGCTACAGAACACTATTACAAGAAACCAAGAGTGACCTCCACAAATGG